TATTCTTAGGAAGGGAACGACCCCAGACGTGTACTTCAAGTTCGAAACACCACTGGGACTTGGCGATCCGAGCTTTGGATGCAGCGAAGTGGATCAGGCAACACACACTAAAGTACACAGTACTGTATCCTGTATTCGTGGCATCTTAGGAGCGATATGCAGCTAGCGTAGAGCCATGTGCGCGATTGAGATGCAGTGTGCAGCAAGGTACACTGATCCTGGGTCTGCGATGAAGAAAGGGAAGGTGGTGATGTTAGATCCGGATGCCGCCTTCAAGCCTCCGGGAACAGTGAAGACAGGCAGGGAGACAAAGGAGTTTGGATCACAACTCTAGCTACGAGAGCTTACGGCTAGTTTACGGCTTACGCTTCATGATGCGACTTGTGCAAGGCATCAACAAGCTTGGCTACGAGTATGCCTTGGGCTCAGGCTGTGTTCCGTTAGCTCCGTTTAAACAAATCACAACGCGCCGTACGATGAGGATGCCGCAGCTTGCGGACTTAGGTCGATCACTGTGACCAAGTCAAGGACCCGAAGGCAGTCAAGGAGAAGCAGCCCGGCAGAGCGCATAAATGGGTCCGCAGATTGCAGAGGCTGCGCTCCTGCGCATGGGGGCTACTTGTCCATGGCATTTCCAACTTAACTGACACCTCACAAGGTTTGGGAATCGCAGGCAACGCACAAACGTAAAGCTTTGCTTCTGGAAAAGTCGTGCACCACCAGATATGGTGGTCCGTCCGAAAGCGTGCATTGCAAGCTGAATTCGAGTCGACTCGAGAATCGATTCGCCCGAGAAGTTTTCGATAGCTTTCGGCAATGCTGTGGTGCAACGTGCATTCAGCCTTCTTCGCAGAACCGAGTCTCCGCATTGAGGTATGCAGAATGGACTCCTCCTCGCAACATCTTCGGCGGAAATTCCAAGAGAGGCTCCGGAAAAGCAACGGAGAGATGAAGAGTTCACTCAAAATCCAGCACCCTTCAGGTGGGCCCGGAGTTCTCACTGGAGGGGTACTCTTTGGCTTCGGGGACCGCTGCTACTGTCTGCTGCGCATGTCTGTCAACGACAGCATCTGTGGACAAGTCACTGAAACAGCTGCGCAGAGTTACCACACGCCTGATCGGGCACAGGAGCCAGGGGCATTTCCGGAGCATGTTCCGGATGACTACGACGCCGCGAGGTGGCAAAGCCACCATTTGCTCAAGTTGAACCTTTCGAAACGCTAAGTGTGCTAGCTCCACACCGAGTAACGGGTCCTGACTCCCGGAATAGGAGTACTACATCGTGACAGCAGACGGATTTTTATTGCCTTTCGAGCTTATCCGAGTTTTTCAGGAAGCAGCGGAAGAAGGAGCTGGAGGAGCACCATAGCAAAGGACTAAGCGCAATGCCGTGCTTTCCCGTTGTGCTTTCCCTGTCTGTGAGTGTTGTCGCTGCTTCTTGCATGCTGCTCCAGCAGCCATGCCGTAAACAGCTTAAATCCTGTGAGGCAAGGTCCAGGAGCAGCCTTTCAAGGGCATCGACTACGGCAATCGGTTCTTCCAGAGCAATGAGGAAGCATTTGGAGGAGCTTCCCAGCTGTTCTCTCCCCCCTCCTCATCTCCAAACTCTACGTTGCGAACCGAGCTGTGTTGTAGGTCGTGTCTTCGTTTTTGTACTGAGGTGCAAGCTGTTGATGTCAGCTCGATGTTTTCACTTTCAGACATCGTGACGAACATGCATCGCTGGAGCGTCCGAGTGCGACCGCCGAAACTAGTAGGATCACAGGGCTGCGCGAACTCGGCACTGGCGAGGTCCTGACATGTCCTGACAACCATACCCCGATAGGGAGACGAATTCGGCAGAACCGTTTCAGAAACACCGGCTGCCAATTCAGCACTGTATTTGACAATAGGAGAACCAATTCAGAAAACAAGGCCGAATCATGCTCCTGCCACTTTGTTCTTGCTGCGGCTGCTGCTGCTGCTGCTGCTACATCTTTCGCTGGTGTGGCTGCCCCTCCGCTGCACAGCCACACAAAGCCCTGCAGAGCAGTGCAATGGCATTTTGGGTTTGCGGACTAACATCTAGGGTTTGAGACTTGGCAGCCGATATGTTCTCTTCGGTTTTTGAGCGTTTGCCAGCCTTCCCGAGTACAATGTAAGGCTACGGTTGAACGGTTGAGGGTTTAGCAACCAATATCTTGTTCTTTTGCTGACTTGTTTTTTTGCCAACCTGGATCTTCATTTGGGGAAGGGTCCGACATCTGGCATTTGCCAGCCAACGGTATCCGGCAGCTCCGGTTCATCTGTCTGGTTTGCCAACCAACACTTTGATTGGTCATTCAAGGTTTTGCGATCCCACATACAGGGTTTGCCACTGAACATAGATAGTGTGTGAGGGTTTGCCAAGCAATCTCCCCTTACCAAATCTCCGGGTGTCGGGTTTGCCGACACATATGCCCTAAAGCTCTGAGGATTGTTGTGCGGCCGGGGACCTAAGACACCCAGAGTCAAGGAGCAGTAGAAGAAATAGTAGTAAGTAGTAGTACTTCAGTAGCAGTAGTAGTAGTAGCAGCAGCAGCAGTAGCAGAAGTAGTAGTAGTAGTAGTAGTAGCAGCAGTAGTAGAACTTCGTTGTTGTTTCCTTCGTCTGAGTTGCTGATTGCATGGCAACCAAGGCCGTACAAATTTCACGTCTTCGTGCTTCTATGTTCGCGGCTTGCAAATCATCGGACAAAAATCGTGGAAACTAAATTGCACCCCTTACATAAGCAACGGTGGGGGGGAGGGAAATCGAAAACAACAGTAAAACAACCAGGACCAATTCGGACTGATTTCGGACAAGAAAGACGAGAGACGATTTCGGAAAACATGCGCGAAGATTCGCAAAACCGCTGCAAGTGTAGACCGTGGGTGTTCGTGCGACATACCACACTGTGGGCTGCTTTGCCGGAGTGGCGGGACGAAATGTAGTCTGCCATTATTTATCATTCCACAGCTCGGTAGGCGAGGCCAGGTGATGCTGGGGCTTTTAGCCAAGCATAAGCTTTAAGCAGCACGAACACCATGCCCTACAGACGGTGGCTCGTGCCCGTACTCCTGTGCACCCTACCATCCCCGCCAGGTTTCCTGGCTTGCGCATTTTCGAAGGATAGCTCATGGGCTTCCAGTACCTTGAAAATCGGCCATCCACCTCTGGTTTTGGAAGAAACGGAAGCCAACCTGGCCCACGGCGCTGCTCATGCTCGACATGCGAAATTTGGACACGGCAACGTAGCGAGATGCGACTTTCATCGAAGACTTGCGGGAGCTTGGTTGCCCCATTGTTGTTCATGAGCAAGAACTGCACCAGCGAAGCTTTCCGACCAACATGTGGCTAGCTGTTCCCTGCACTTTCGTGTTGAGTTGTGCCAAACTTCGGACAGGTGGCGTCGATTCCTATGTAAGGCTGCAAAGTGCCCAGTGTAGAGTCTTGTAGAGCTGCGTATCTGAAATCCAGATGTTGAACGGGCATCAGATGCCGCTTCCAAAAGACCGCCGAAAGTTTCGCGATATCAGGTTGAGGTTCTCCTAAAGCCGCCCTACACTGTTTGTCCGTGCCAGAGCAACGCGTCCGGCATGAGCGCCCATCCCGTCCTTTCTTGTGTCTGAGCGGCATTGCAGGATACGAGCATCCCACCCACGTCCCCCGCGATCCTCCGCCTGACAAAGCTGTGCCTTGGAGATGCAAGCGCTTTTAAGCTTTGCCTGATGCTTGAAGCTTAGTGAATGCAGAGTGAACTGTCCGGATTGGATCACATTGGATCGGTTTCACAGTCGAATGTCCACGAGGGGGGGAAGCATACGGAAGTGTGGCCAAAGGCGAAATACCCCCATGAGTCGCCCTTCCGGCCGACCAACCCGATGAAGAGAGATGCCGTGGGCTGCCTCATGGGTGGAATTCCAGAGTAACTTGGTCACCAGAAGCTCGCAGGCCTTCCTGTGTCGCCAGCTTCTGCAGACGTTATGCACTCAGGTATATCCCCTGTCCAGAAGACCCTCTCAAACGTAAGCCAAAGGCCGGCGGTCCGAAAAAACACGACTCGCTCAGCTGCGTCGTGCTTTGGCGGACAACTGTCAGGACGAGGATGCGCCGCCGGCCGCTGGCCAGCACCGGATCAGCCATGTTGAGCAGCTGTGCCTTGCTGAAGCCTGAAGCGCTGGACCGAGGCGTTTAAAGTGGGCGCTCCACGGCATGTGGTGAAGCCGACGCCATCCGCCCCTTGATTTCACTTCGAGATGATTGGAAGCCCATGATGAGCTCATGCGGACTTTTCGAGCAGTGAATGCATGGTGCAAGGTCACCACACTCACCCGCAACATGCGAAACGAACGCCCGTCAAGCTTCATGCGACCGACACTGATCTGCATTCTGCATCTTCGTTTCCTCCACACGTGACAGATCTTGACAGGGTAAGTGCTGGAGGTGCCTAGCCCACCACACTTCGTGCTAAGGATCTTGTGACGGCCCGTGGCCTGGCCGTTAGTTTCACAGCAACGAAAGCGCCATGCGCACAAACAAAAAAAACTGTATATGCTACCAGGTGAAAACTGGCGCCTGGCTTGCCTCGCCAGAAGGGCGAAGCGATGCGAAGTGTTTCACTCCAGTCGTGCTGTGCATGGGACGGCACAAGCAAAAGATTCAGATGTGTAATTACAATCATAATAGTAATAGGCATGGGACTGTATATTCAATACTCAGGGCAATTCCAGTGCCACCACGCCAGCCTTCTTGCGATTTGCATGTCGCAATGGACCAAAACAGAGCTGAACGGGGAGACGGGAGACTCATTGCAGAAGACCCGTCGGAACTCAAGCATCACTGACTTGTGGGCCGAGGCTGTGGAATGCTGAGCTGAGCTGAAACAACACATCTCGGAGAACTGCGGTGTTGGAAAATCGATTTCTATCTGTTCATCGTGCACGACTCATCCTGCGGTTGCCGGTGTCGACCCGACTTTCACTTGTGCTCGGATGTCGCAGGCACTGCAGCTCACTAGCGCAGGCCACTGCTGCACAAAGTGATGGTTGATAGGTGACTGTAGCGCATGTGACTAGTTTGTTTGCTGTCAGCATGCCTTCTCGTCTTCGTGTTCTCTGCGACTGGTGCCGTCACGTTCTGACCAAGGTCTCACTCCCAGATGGCAGAAGTTGGAATACAGCCGATGGCCAATAGCAGAACAGTCACGGCCACCATAACCTCCAACCCGATGCGAAGCCTAAGCCTGCACTACTACCATGTTGCAACGCTTTCTACCCCCGCATCTGCATCCAACTCTACCCTACCCGTAGCTGATCATGTACCAAACTTGGCGCAGAGACTCCAGCAGTCAGTACTCGTCAGGAAGCGTGGTTTGAGACTCGGTGGCTCTGCCCTTGCTGAGTACCTCTCAGCCTTAGCATACATGTTGTGAGAACCTGCGAAGCCATAGAGACCGATGGCTCTTCTCTACAAGAGGGAGCTTACAGAAGCCCTTGGACGCGATCAGGCCAAGAAGGACGGGTGGGAGACAACACTTCCATAGTATAGTTAGAGCCAAAACAGAGTCAAAAATTGAGGGCAGCACACCCGCTCAAGCAAGCTAGGACTATGCCCGTGCATGGAAGGTTGCCATCAAGGCAGGTCGTTTCCGGGATGGCATTCCTACTGTCCTACTGCGTGCGGCATGTAAGAACTCTGTGTTCATCTGCCAGGCAGTCAGAGCCATGCTCAGATTCAAGCGGGGAATGCGAGGGTGGTCAGGGGCGCCAGCTAGCGACTCGGCACCATGCAAGCTCATCCTCCCATGTGCTTACAAACCCAGGTATCTTACCAGGTTTATGCATCCCATTCTGTCTATCTGTCCGTCCGGCACAGGCGGTGGGGAGCCAGCGATAGACCACACTTTGCGAGGCTGCTAAGAGAGCAGCGAAGCGTCAGGCGAAAGTACCTCAGGTTGTGTCTTGCCATCAGGATTCCATTTCCTACCCCCGACGCCCCTCCGCCGGACGCAGAAGGAGATGCCTCCGGACACCATCGAGCATCTGGGACGGCAACACCACGGGACTATGCTTGCTTCACTGCCTTCAAAGTTTAGAGCGACAAAAATCGCTGGTTATTCGTGCGGAGGCTCGTCCTGCACGGCTTGAAGGGAGAGCTGCTGATGGGGCCAGGTCCTGAACGGCAAGATGCCAGTGTCTGCGAGAGACATGTTCTTTTTGGCAGACTGATGAGCGCACTCAGGCCGGACATTGTGTCACTGGGCGTCAGCATCTCGCAGATCAAGAGACGCTTGTTGGTCTACTCTCGGCAGCAGGCAGTGTCGATCAAACAGTTTGAGTCAGTGAGTGCCCGGGGCGTCGGCACGCCTTGACCGTGGAGGTGATCAAGGGCAGCGTGACCCGAGCCCTGCAGCTCTACAACTTCATTGCCCTGGGTGCCGTAGTGCACTTCCTTCACAATCGCCGGGCAGTTGATGACATGGCCCTTTGGAGGCATAGCAGAAGTCACAGCGCCACGAGTCAAACTGTTAGCCACTGTTAGCCTTGAGCTGCTCTTGAGTTTGTAAATGGGGCTCTGATGTTACTTGGAACAGGGCGTGTCTACGCGCGCAGGGGTGCGATGTGCGCCCTCTTCTGAAGCGATGCCAACGAGCAAAGAGTCAAAGAGTTAACGCGCCACCCCTCATTTGCAGGCCGTTTCAACGGCCAACTCCATCCGAAGCTCGCCCAATCCCATGACTCGTCGCTTTTCGCCAGCAGGCGAGGGCTATGCGCTCACCCGGAAGATCACAGCAACTCGCGCTCACCTCCAATCTTGGGTTCTCGCACTTTCACAATCCGACCACAAAGCCGCTCAATTGACATCGCATGCAGAAGAGCTCGTTGCTTCAGCCTCGGACTGGATATGGCTACTGCGCAAACTCCAAGTGACTCCAAGTCGCATACGATCACGATGCTACGAAGAGTAATTATTCAGAGCTGCCTCATTTCAGCCTTCTCGCGCCTTGTGCTGTGTTTTTTGCAGCAAGCGGGTCATGGCTTGTCCAACAACCTGCATCTTTTGGAACTGTCAGTATGCTGCGGCAGTGCAGTTTTCCCGGATCCTGAGCAATGAGGAGACTTTGCGCAATCTGCGGTTCGAGGAGCAGAACGAAGGCGTCGTGCTGCTAGGGTCGAGCTGTTTTCCTGTCTAAGCAAACGCGGCCAAAACGGATGTCGCCGGCCAGGCACTGGGAAATACTCACCGGATACGATGTCGTGTTTTGACCGCACACTGCATCGCCGAGTAGTTCCCGTTGTGAGCCCTGTGCAAAGTTGAAGTTTGCCTCGAGGCACCTGGCACAGGTGAAGAAGAGCCTGAGCAAAGCTGGCACGGCCGATGAGCCTCGAGAGTTGCATGCGGCTCCCAGGACCGTGAAAGACCGCACAGAGACATGAGGGAGTCGCAGAGTCTGTTCATCCATCCTTTCACCCCTGGCAGGCTGGAACTCATTGCCGTAGTCTTCGTGCACATTTACGGTTTCGTCGCCTGGGGCGATGCTTCTGCAGGCGTCTCGTGCTAGAAGCGATGTCCATCGATCCCAAGAGCTTGCTGGGGATCACAGCACAAACATGACAAGCATCTGTCCAGCTGCAGAGGTGGCTCCATCCCTCTCTCCCTGAGCGACCGCCTCTCTGGTGGCATCACCTTTGTTGTCGGCAACACCCGCGCATTTGCAGCCGTGTCCCAGTCAGGTGCGATTCGGCAGGATAGGACATTCACAGAAACTTGTGTCAAGAGGCCTTCTGCACCTGAGGCCGCATGAACAACGCCGGTTCTTGTATAGAAGAAGTCCGCATCGGGTGGAGCACGGATAGCAATAGTGGACCAATTGTTCAGCGTTCTGCACGTATCTCCAGTTGAAGGTGCTGTCACTACCTGGGGTGATCCAGCCTGCGGGGGGAACTCTGGCAGAGTCACAGATCAGCTCAAATCTCGGGCCTTCCAAATTTGCCACAACGAGTGGGCATCACGGCAGCAACGTGCATTCTGCTGCTTCCGCCTTGCTGGTGTTACCCTTGATGATGGCTCTCATCATGCGAGGCCTTCGCTGCTTTCAGGGAGGGTGGCCAGATCGTGTGTGCCCTTGAGACAATTCGAGTTCTTCAAATCGATGACCTCGCAACTGTTCACGTGTCAGGTTGGGGCGATCCCGACGCCGGTGGCCAGCCATCAGGGCTTGGAACATCCCTAGGATCTGGCGTTGTGAAGGTTTGTGGCTCGGACTCGCAAGCCTGCGCCTTTCCCTCCGCTTCCCCTTTACTTTGTTGGTGAGTTGGTGGCCCACCTTCGCTTCGACTCTTCCGGGCCGCCAAGGCAGCACTGAGTTCGCCTTCGCTGCATTGAAAGAAAGCGGACAAGTCGTCACCTGGGGCGATCCAAGCGTGGGCGGCGATTCCAGCGGCGTTGCGGACCAGCTGCAGACTGGCATTGTCAATATTTGGGCGAATGCTGGCGCCTTTGTGGCGGCAAAGTCTGACGGGTCCTTGGTTATCTGGGGCGACCCAAGCGCTGGAGGGGACATGAGCGCTCTCAACCAGGACGGTTTGACACATGCAGGGCATTGCAGCAAAGTCGTGGTTTGCCTGTCTGTCCCACATCACAGAGGCACAGAGCTTTCTCAGGAGGAGGCTCGCGATATCGAGACCCTGTACTGCAACATCCGAGCATTCGCTGCGATTGCTCAAGGCGGAGCATCAGAGCTAAGCAGTGCCGTTAGAGAACACATCGTGTGGCGAACCCGAACGCGAGGAGGTCGCGTGGTTGCCTGGGGCGCTCCTGGATGCGGTGGGGACACGTCAGCAGTCGCGTCGCAACTTACAGAGACCAGGCTGAAGCCCACAGTCAGCCAACCTTCTTGTGATGTAGACTTTAACAAGAGCCTCGGTAGTCAGAAGCAGGAGTGGTGCCACTTACGCTCGCTTCACGTCTTCTTGTGGAGCTGAGGCGGGTGTTCGAGACATTCGGACCAATGGACGTGCTTTCGCTGCCATTAAGGACTGAACTTCAATTAGTCGTGAGATCTGTTGGCTTGGGCTCGCATATGCTCGCATCGCACATTTTGTGGGCAGTCAGTAGGCCCCACGCCATCAATGCCTGCAACCGCGAAAGCAGGACAAGGGAGCGGTGGTTGCTTGGGGCAATCCAGACTTCGGTGGTGATGCAAGCGCAACAAGCCATCTCATGCAGCACAGCATTGTGGATGCTTGTGCGGCATAGTTTCATGCATATCCTGGTGCGTGAAGTATCAATAGTAGTTTCAATGGTTTACCGAAATCCGCGTCGATGCATTCGCCAGTTGATCAGTCAAGGACATTATCCCAAGCTTGAAGGCATTTGCTGCTTTAAGAGAAGACCCCATGAGATCCTTGGCCTGAGTTATGGGCTCTTGCTGAGATTCTTGGGGGGTCAGGGTTTGCTCGAAGCCCATCTCTCAGGTAACGGCTTCACCGTCATGACGTGGGGTGATCCACAAACTGGCGGAGACTCAAGCGCAGTGTCCCACCTGCTGATTGGCCAAATACTGCAGCTTGGCCGTGTAGTCGTGAGCAGATTGCAAGCTGCCACCTCATATGCCGATGTGCTTCGAGGCAGGTGGTGGCCAACGATTGGGCGTTTGCAGCTAGAAGAGATGACGGCATCGTTGTTTGCTGGGGCGACCCAGCTTCTGGGGGTGACAGCTCAGCTGTACAGGAGCGAATCCATCAAGCAGGCGAGTGGCATTGGCTCGAGATGCAATCTCTACGGTGCCCCCTACCCTAGCTGATTGTCGTGGTCGGATAAACGAAGGCTCTGTAATGGTCCGGAAAATTTTGGGTGGAGGCAACGATTCTTATGCAATCATGCGACTAACCTTCCATAGGTTGACCTGCCTTTTGCAGCGCAGCCATCATCCCCAGCAGGCCCCTGAACGATCCATCCCCCCGCTCTCGCACATAAGCGACCCGGCAGGAGTGAAGATACCCCCGTCTGAACATACGGCAGGCACACAAAGGTCCAAACCATAACACAGTTTCGGGCTTTTAGTGAAGCCTTTCCTGCCTCACACTTGCAGTGTGTTTGGGGGCTTGCCTTCTTGCAGGCTTACGGATGTGAGTCTTTCGAGTTTTCCGTCAACTCTTCGCCGTGCATGGGTCAGAACCCGTCTTGTTTTTGGGACATCCTGGTGATTGTGCAATTGCTCGTGCTCGTGCTCGTGCTCGTGTGTGTGTGTGCTTGTGTGTGTTTGTGACATCCCGAACAAAGGAAAAAGCAAGGATGAGGGCCTGTAATTAACATTGAGAGTGAGGAGCACCGGGGTTTGCTGACTCTTGTGGCCTTGGAAGGTGGAGCCGTGGCCTTGTACAAGACGTCCAGGGCCTTCGCCGCGGTCCTCCAGGATGGTTCCATTTGCGCCTGGGGCGAGCCCAGCTGCGGAGGAGACTCCACCCCCGTGCCCCGGCCGAGTTCATGACGGGATGCGGATGCTTCCCCTCAAGCTAGCTTGCCAGGCCGAGTTTGAGCTGGGAGAAGAGAAGGCTGCCGAACTCGAAGCCACAGCATGATCTTTGCAATCCGGAGGGACGGCTTGGCCGGCTCGACTGTATCATTTGGCATGGTCTTACGTAGCATGTACGGGAAGCAGTGAGACGATGCACCCCCATAATTCACTGACAACAACCATGTCTCCGGTCGGGGCTTTTGTGCCCATCGTGAGCCCTCTTCCAAAGCTTCTGTCCTCGTACTGCCCATCCCTCGCACCAGAAATTGTTCCCTGTGTCAGGTCCTCGACATGTGTGCGAATGATTACGCATTTGCTGCACGCACTTCGCGTGGATCTGTTGTTGCTTGGGGCCCGCTGCTCAGACATGCCGGCCAGTCAGTGTGTTGCCGCCACGGCGCCGCAGTCTGCATTCACTGGACTCGCAGAATCACCACGACAGTTCAAAGGTCACAAGCTGTATGGGGGCCACATTGAGGAGGACAATGTGGGCCAAAGCCAGACAACCCTTCGTGTGTCCTGGTAGTTCTACTCTGCAATCGCACAGCGTGCAGCCGTTGCCAACAACCCAGTAATTCCACGATTCAGGCGGGACTGTAGCTCGAATCACAGGAGGCTGCTGCCAAGCTGCAGTCCGGCGTTACAAAGATGATCGGCCGCCGAGATGAAACTGTTCACATGTCTGCCCAAAAGTACCATGCAAAGCGCAGCACATGTCTCTTGCAAATGCTGTCGAGGCAACAAGTTCTCCTTCCTCGCAATGAAGAGATCTGGCACATACGTAACATGAAGCGACGAACCGAGCGGAGCCACAAAGATCGGGCTCCTTTAGATGTGCAGACCTGCAGCAGGGAGCCGCCAAAGGCGGTCCTGCTGCCTCTCGAAGAATGAACCGGCAGGGTCCAATAATTGCCTTGCACTTTTGGTGTGCATCTCAGAAGAAGTTTCAGAAGTTGTTGCAAGTCCGCGCAGTTACGGCACACGATCCCGTGGACGAGCTGGCACCGGACGCTGCTGGGGCAAGCGCCGTCGGGACTGATTCGTCGGGTTCTCGATCTCCAAAGACAGCCGTCATAATCTGGATGTACCAGTCGGGCAGATGCAGACTAGTGACCGTGGCGGTGCGGGGAAGCTGGGGGTAGGATAAGTAGGAAGGTAGGAGGTATCGGTGATGTGCGACAGAGGTTGTTGCCAGACCAGCCGCTGGAGGCCATCTTGAACCAGTGGAGAGAAAAGCTGCTTATCTGATTTTTGAAGCAGAAGGGTGCTGAATTATTTTACTGACGAATGCAAGCATTGCACAGAAACGCACAAAGCAGGTAAAGCATCACCTGAGTTGATAAACACGTGGGACATGAGTGTGCAGCCAGAAAGGACATATGTCGGTGCCTGTTTGATGTATGCACTTGGATTGGACGTAGTGAGTGGCGATGGATGCAAACCCAAGCAGCCAATGCTAGTGCCAAAGACAGGCTTCGGCTTATGCAGCTTCTGTATGTTTCCAGGTGATATACATGACTGCTGCCCACTAGTCCTGCCGTCCGTCGGTGTCCCTGACCACAAATCCCAAAATTGCATCGCAAAGCCATATCATGATAAAGATGGAAGAGGCGCGTCCAGGTCCACTTGCATGCCGAGAACGGATGGATCTAAGGTATGCTGCTTTCCAGGGGGCGATGCAAACTGTCGGGAGCCAGGTGGTCTTCATAGACTCGTTTCGGTGTCAGATGCTCTGACGGCTTCCCGCACTTTGATGTCCAAGCCAACTCAAGTCCACGAGTGTGCAGTGAGAGCGCATGTATGCACACAGTCTGAGACACAGTGCGAACTTGCGGAGCAATGATGATCAGACTAGATTGACTTCGGCATGGATGTGGTGCTGATCGTCGTGACAAAATGCGGTGGAAGGTCGTCGGCGGGATTGGAAAAGGTTGCTTGTTCGCAAGCGGAAGGGAGGTCGAACTACAGCCTTGGCCTTGTCGTCCCAGTGATGCAGAGACGCTTATGGAAGCTTCTGTAGGGCAGGCTGCGGTGTGCTTGAGGGGACCGGACTCCTACCCCAGGAGGCATCATCGTTCGATGCGCTTCGGGCGTGGGCTCTGAGCAGCTACCACAGCGCCTGGAAACTGGTGCAGTTGTCCAGGACCCTTTTCGCGCTCGAAAGATGCAGACGGGCCCGACGGGACGTGCAAGCACGGCAATCATATTCGCTGAAAGCATGCTTTTCCATCCTTTCGCCTCAGTTCGCTATCCAAGTGTATCTTGAATGCCTCTTCACACCCATCTCATGCGAAATGACATGATGCCACATGCTCATATGCAAAACATCGTGCAAACAATCATGCCAAAACTCAAACCACGCCTGCCAAAAAAGCATGCACTCAAACATGCCCTCGCTAAAGAAAAAGAAGCATTCCTTATTTGAGGATCATACTGATGGTCACAGTTCGTTGGCCTGCCCTGTCAGCCACTTGAAAGGAGCTTTCCCTGGAGGGCGAGAGATTGTGCTACGAGCTGATCTCCGGAGTGGGGCCGCCGCAAGGCTGGGTCAGCACCAGCTTGCAGGGCAGAGCTCTCCTGGAACGGGCAGATGAGAAGGCGGAGGAGGCGAAGGCTCTCCCGGAGGCTTTGCCAGCTTTGTCCGCAAGCAAGTGGCTGGCAAAGTACGAGCACGGGAAGGAAGCTAAATGCAGGTGACTTGGATACTGCCATGCTGTGGAGCCACAGCCTCAAGGCCTGCACTGCCCAGCCTAGCTCAGGCTCGTGTGCTTCTTTGGCGCCGGGCACGATGCGATTGGATTTGCGCACTGGAGACCTGGCACACACACACACACCTTTTTCCGGCTTCGGCAGATCTATCAGACTGACTTCTGACTGCCCCGAAATGATTCGTTCACCGAGTAGTTACCTGACTTGTCCGTACATGCGGACCAGTAGTGCATGTTGTTGACTTTGATCGGAAGGAATCAGTACGTGGCGGAGAAGTATCCTTCCATCGAGCTGCTGCTGATTACTTTGCCGGGCCATGGAGTGAATCGCCATGTGCCAGTACAAGAGAATGCAAAGGCGCGTTGGCGTTTAGGTCCCCATCATTTTCACAGTGCGACGCTTGCAACATCCGAAAGCCCGCCGTGAAGGCATTGGCAAAGCTGGCCGCTGAAGAACTGCTGAGCCTCAACGAGCACTTCGGCCCCTTCGGATTGTTGGGCTTCTCCGTGGGTGCTACAGCCAGCAAGAGCCTCAGAGCCTTGGGCATGGCCCTCCTCGCGCAGAGAAGCATTTTTTTTTGGGGGGGGGGGAGCGGCGTGAAGCTTTGGAAGTTCATTTGAGGCTATGCGCTAGCACACGAGATGACCTGTCGTGGACGGAAGCCGTTGAAGTTGTATGTGGCTGGCAGGGCCGGGCCAAAGGTCTGCTTCCGACCTCCGGGACAGGAGGATGCGTCCTTGGGGTGGGAAAAGATCTGCTTCGTACCGAGATACTGTACTGGCAGCTCGTTCCTGGTCATTTCGGCCGCGCCGTAGTGAAGGTGGCTATTGCTGGTGATGATTTCTAGCAGTCTAGCGGGCAAGGCGAGTCTAGAGCTGAGGGCCATCTTATGCCATCTTGTTGCAGAGAGGCTGTAGGCCCTTGTAGGCTGCAGACCTTAAGCTTCTGATTCGGGGGGTCCTTCGAGCACCTTGTGGTGATGAGACCAGGAGATTTGGGCCTTAGACTCGATTGCCTGGATACGCTGGTTCGTTGCAAACTTTGCCACCGAAGATGATGTCAAGCGAACAGACGCTGAGCTTCATCCCTATCTATCGTGTATCACGACCGGGTGCTTGCGTCACTTGCGTCAGTGCGTGCGGATGCCCACAGGAACGATTGATTCAGTTGTCTGACGGACCAAACGATGGCCTGTTAAAATCCATTTCCTCATCGCAGAAGGCCGACATGCTTCTTGGAGACAGTTTGGCAGGCACGGTGAGTGCTGTGCAGCTGTTCGGCTTGAAGCTGCCGGGATGCAGATGCATACCTTTTTTCCCGAAAAAGGTACAAAGCTCCCAGCCATTGAAACGGATCTCTACGTGCTAGCATCCAGAGCCGATGAAGTATGGCCAGCAGAAGACAGTGCAAAGTGTCTCGGCTTGGACGAGCAGCCCAGCAGCCTTTTCCCCCTAAGCCAAGCTGCTGGTTGTTGATAGTCAGTTGCATAACTCGCACGGTTGAGGAAAGGCTCCTAGCAGGCCGGTACATGATAATGAATCGTGCCCCTCCAGCTTCTTGCAGGTTTGGCAACCGTTGCAGCCCGGCGTACATGGACTGTGCTGAGACCTGGAAGCCTTGCACTCTCGGATCAACGACTCTCAAGTATTTCGACGAGTTGACTCACAGCGAGCTGTGCACTGAACTCCTGCTGGAAGAAGTTTGTCGCGACCTGTCAGCCGTGATGCAGAGTGCGTGCGAGGGGGAAAAACCATGTTTGTTTGAGCAGAGGGTGGAAAGCGTTGGAGAGTGGTTCTTGCACCGATGACGGCACTTGGACTGCGGCCATGCCGGCTTCTTGCTGCCGATCTCTGCGGAATCCTCTGCGCAGAATCAGCCTTGGTTCGCAGGTATCCTTGTAGAGGGTTCGAGGGTTGGTTTGCCTGCTTGCGCGAAGGTTTGCATTCAGTCTGAGGCAGGTCCCCCTCTGACTTGGCATGGCCCAGGTCCTGAGCACCGATGCATCCAAGCCAGCACGAGCTGCCGACTCGTTTGCCATCAAAAAGCTGCTGCTGTACTACAGGACCCGATAGGGTAAAAGTGACATGACAGGCTTTGGAGCAAGCCGTGAAGCATCGGAGAGCGATGACGAGGTTATTGAATTGCGTGTTAGAAGCAAGCCCTGTTGCATGACGGCATCACGCAACTGAATCTCACTCTCCGAGGCTTTTCTGAGGAGGATCAAGCAGGAAGTAGGTGCGGGGCTTGATTTGACCATGTTCGCACGTCTATACAGCATACAAGTCAATGAGGCGACAGAAGCTCGGAGTTGCAAGTCAATCCTGCTGTTCTTGCACGAACCTGCGGTGACGATGCGTGCGCAGAGCTGTTTGCGCTACGAGTTGCATGTACATCTTGACCAAAGGATCAACCGGAGGGGCCTTAAAGCAAAGCGTAGCTGGCTGCGGGCACTGAGGCCTTATGTGAGCAGAAGCATCTTATTCGGAGGCTCTGACATGCCGAGAATAATGAGTAAATCTGTAGCAAGGCCAGTAGAACCAATCGAGACAGAGAAGCTTGTCCTAATCTCTGACTCTAATGTGTTCATAGGCTTCTTGGACCCCACTTGGTCAAGTTGTGTTCACTGCCCCAGCTTTTTCTGTGTGATCTGCTCGACTGTAGACCTTGCAACATGTTCTTGTGCATTTTTCGTTCGGTTGAGTTTCTTCTTGACGGACTCACTACGAGAACTTGCTTCGCGAGGTCTGGATGCTGGTCCAATGTGGGACTCCCTGCCATCTCCAGGCGGCATGCTGCATGGATGAGTTTAGCAACGATTCGAGCCATGGTGATGGCTTGGCCGTGCTTCTGAGATTCCAGGAGGCAGCGCAGGCGGCAGCCCAATCGCGGCAGAGGCCGACCTGTACCCGCTACCGGCTGGCATGGAACAGGAGCGCACTTGTGCTAGGCACCGAGCTCAAGGGCTTGGTTGTGCTATAGCTGCGCGATCTACACATCATGTGTTTTTTTGCCGGTGCATGAACCGAGGCAAGCATGAAATGCATGGTCACTGTGGGCTCGGATTAGTAGTGGTCCAGGCTTGGCATGTGAAGCGACAGCCTTTCACAGCATCGCCCAAAGCCGTTGAGTCGTATGGTTCTGCTTCTTCGATGTGATGTTTCCTTGATCGTGCAGGGGACACCGAACCGTTGCAACGTTTGCCTCCTCCTCTGACAAGAACTCTTGGCCACCTTTTCTTCAGCAAAACGAAACAAAGCATGTGCAGAATCAGAACCCAGGTCCCAACAAACACAGGCCTCCGACGCGGAATTTTTCATCCTGGCTCCGTGCCTAGAGATGCAGGATTTTCGGCATCTCCGAGCAGCTCTTGCAGCAGATGCTGAACCACAAGTATTGCAGGCTGCAACGGCAGAGAGAGAGAGAGAGAGAGAGAAGTATTGCAGGCTGTGTCTTCACGAGCGGTTCGGAGCTTTGCATGATTAGAACCCATCCCAGGGAGTCGAAGTTGATTGAAGGAAGATGCTGAAGCTGAAACTCGCGACGGAGATGATGACGCCAACGCTTCGGGTCCTGGTGAAGCCGCCGCAGCCGGCGAGGGGGACAAGAGTACAGCTCAGGCCATTTATCTACAGCCATTTGCAGTTGTCCTGCTCCCAGCAAATGACGTTTTGCACTTGACTCCTGCATTCCGTCACTCAGAGGCTCAAGGGTTCTGCGATGTTACTTGTAGCGGGCAGGCCGACCATGTATTGCGTGGCTGCAGCAGCCCCCAGCCACAGGTTCTTCAACCCAATAGCCTGGCAATAAGACATGGTAACATAGTATTTAAGCAGGGATCGTCGGCCATGGGCGGGACCGGAGCGAAGGCTGTCTCATGCGGGCGAAGCTGTGAAACCACATGTGTGGAGCACATTGGGGCCGCTTGCTTGACAGAGATGTCGTAGCTGATGTTGCTGCAAGAGCATCCATCCCCGAATTCAAAGGTTGACGTCTATGCTGTGACGCAGTGTGCAGGCACCAGACTCGCCAGACGTTTCACGATGAAAGCTGTCTCTGGTTTTTTCGTTCGGCTTCGTCAGCAGTAGAGTCCGTCATCTTCCAGGCCACCCAGATGGTGATTTGGCAGGCACAGAGGTGGGTCAGAACAAGCCGAAATTGAAAGCGCTGCTGCAAGTCCAGTGAGAGCAATGTCACGAAGCAGTGGATCGCATGGTAATCCGAGAGAGCCGTTCGCGGCACAAAGGCTTTAGGCGCTAGACTAGCCGGCAGAGCCAACGGAGCTTGTTCCAGCACATGTTGATTTCATTATCTAGCGGGATTATGTCAAGCATGGCACCTACGACATACGACAGGCTATGAATGTGCACAAGTTGCTGGTGGCTGCCAAGGAGGGCAGACAGGACAAGCCGAAAAAACCAAGCGGCGCTTTGTGCATGCTTGGTTGCCAGGGTATACGCTCAAACCCGTGCTTTTGTCAGGAAGAAATTGCGGAGCTTTTGGCTGAAGGCTTGCCAATTGATCGAAGGCGCCAATGCAAGAGCATCCAACGAGATCTTGTTTGCACGACTGGTGCTGGAAGTTCCTGCAGGCGACCGTTCTTCATGAAGCGCGAGAAGGAGAATATAGGACCATCTGAGGCCGTGCAAGATGCCCGGCAACCGGGCATGACGGCCTTGATGCCACCTCGTCCGCAAATCATGGATTGAACAGAAAGTCACTCATCGCTGCCGATAAGATGCCCAACGTGCCACTGAGGTATGCTGCTCAGTCTGGCTACCCCTCCTGCTGTGCTCGGCTATTGGTGGTGGACTTAGACTACCAGAAGGTGCCAACAGAGGGTCGTAGCGCTTGTTGTGAAGCCGCAAAGCGCGAGGTCGGCAAGGCGAACGTGAATGCGGAGGACGAGGCAGTCGTTGGAGCATCTCACAGCCAGTGCTGTCCTTTGACGAGCCGACGACCGACAGGATGGCACCCGGCCTTTACACTTCGCCGCGTCTTCTGGTAGAATCGACCTTTGTAGACTTCTGATCGAGCCCCTTGGCATCTCCTAGGCTGACGGTGCGGAGCCGCCGCAATGCACCAGGTGAAGGCATTCGTACAGCAACTGATATCGAGTCTAAGAAAGTATGCGAAGGTTTGGTGTGGGCACCGCACTGAGGTACAATGCTGACGTACATGACTCTCGGCGTTCAGATGCCTTAAGTGTATGAGAGGAATGAATACTATGCACTCGGATTGCCCAAGTTGACAGACCGCCCACAGGCAGGTAACGCGACAAGGCAGTGAAACCCGAGGCAATCACTGACGATGGCAAGGCGGCTGTCGACTTCGTACCTCGAGATGACAATTTGCCTTTCTTGTGGGCGTGGATGTTTTTCAAAAACTGAGGGATGAAATCTTGGCCCAGGTGCCAGACGATGCCATTCCAACTGCGAAGCACTACCAGATGTGGCGAACTGTGCTGCAACGGAGCCCGACAGACAAGGCGCGTGACACAAGGTCTCGATCTGGCGTAGAATGAAGCCTTGCTCTTGACCAGGTGGACGCTGACAAGGCGCCAACCCCTCCGACGCAAACTGATGGCAGTGGTGATGCAAAGAGCGAGGCAAACAGCTGGCTGCATGAGCAAGAGTTTCAGCATGAGCCCGACCTGACACGATGAACAGCAGCTCGACGGCGTAACTTCCCAAAGAGGGGGTTTGCGAACTGCCGGAATCAGACTCGAAGTCGAGCTGCAGAGCTCAGACATCTGTCTTTCATCCTTTAATTTCAGACCAGTTTGGAGTGCACCAGTGCTTGTGAGACTTGCAATAGGTGCTCCAAACATGCAGTTCTTGCACAATCGGACACTGTGTCTCACCATAGAAGCCTCTGTCTTCGGCTATGACAGAGCCAATGCAGCGATTTACAAGCCTCTGCTGCGCCTTCCGCGGACCATGCGCACTAGTTAGCCCTAGCTGACTGCAAAAGAGTCGCATTTCAGCTTCTGCGCACCGCATGAGCCGCTTCTGTGGACTTGTGGTAATTTCATGGAAGATCCGGGGGGGTGATTGCAGGAGGAGGCATGGATTCAGCCAGACCAGCAAACCTCCGACGCAGCAACAGGCCGGTCCATCGAGTTTGATCTAGGGTGCAGCCGGCTCCTCACTCAGGTGTCGGAGCCGCTGCATCCTTTGAAGCAAAAGACCAGGCAGGAAAGCACTCATCGGTGGATGGAGTTCCCTCGCAGTTTAGGCGCCAGGGCCATTTTTGTGCATTTTTGTGTGTTTGCAGATGCTTGCTCGGCTCCTGGCCTTGGAAGCTGAAGTGTCACGACTGCGCGAAGGCCCCCCCGTGTTTCATCCTGCCTGTCCGGTCCGCACCTTTGCCATGAGACAAACCCGGCCTTCACAAGGAGCGGCACCCACAGCAAGTGCGCGATGGACTCAGATCGCCCCCCCCAGAGTGCAGTCGCACGTGGTAGCTGCATGTCGGTCGTTACCTGGGCTCGGAAGGAGTCCTTTGTCTCCAGAGCCAAGCGCTGAAAGCCCGAGACGCCACAGCCTCTTGCTTGTGTGCCGGGCACCGGTCCCAGATCCTGCCTGGGCGCCGGGACCAAGGACCGGAAGAGAGAGGAGGTGCCGTGACGGAACGCGGAGAGGCGAAACCTGAAAGGTTTAAGAACGAAACTGGTACAGGCCGTTTCGGCTGAGATACGTTCGTCTAGCGTGCCAGGCATTGCTCAACTCCTTGGCCATGAGCTTGTTATCCTCGGGCAGTTCATTGTTTTGACCTTACTTCAAGGCTTTGCAGATACTGACTGTGCGGAGTAGAGGCCCGACGCAGCCAAGGTTTGCCTCCCTGTCTGATGGCCCGACTTCTCCGGTTTGGCACCATGGCTCCATGCCAAGATTCAGCCTGCTCGCAGCCACGTATCTAATGGCCGTGGCAAGAAGCGTAGCAAGGCAGTGGCGCAGCTCTGTCCCAGCAGGCAGCTTGTTATGCTCAGCGATCTGCATGGTGAGAAGAGACATCTGTAAGCAGTGCTTTGGTGGGATGCGCTGCATTCTCCCTTGCCCCGCTGCCATTTAGGTGTCAGGCAAGCTAGGATGATGGCTCTGGTAGCCTCGCAGCCTCCACCTGAAGAGTCGAGTGCTCGCTGCCCCGCATGGTTGCCACTGGAATGGGGCGAAGGTGCAATGATGCAACGGCTGCTAGAAGCTGCCAACATTCTTCGAGACGGTGGTGCACAGAAGAGGGCCCGGGAGGCTTTCCAAGAGGCTTACACAATTCACATGCGGCAAAATGATGAGATGCACCTTGCTTTCTCTGCCGCTCTCCCGCTGTTTTTCGAATCCTTAAGAACAGGGGAGAACGGCGGCTGTGGTGCTTCGTGCGGTCGCGGACAGTTGACTTTTAGAAAGGATCACTCACACCTCGACATTCCTGCCTGCATCAAGCTGTTGGAGGGGTTGCAGTCCCTCTCCCGATTTGGCGATAGTCCACCTGCTTTGCCTCCAGAAGGCTGTCCAAGGTGGGAGTACGTTCGCGAGCTTTGCTCGCAGGCAGCCCTTTCTCTGGATGTAGCACGGCTCGTCTACCTAGAAAGGCGTAGACGGAGCCAAACTTCGGAGCCTCAAAGCTCGCCCCTGAGCGACCAAGTTCCGGAAGCACCTATGCAAGAAGAGGTCCGCGGGCCAGCCTCAGAGAAAGAGAAAGCAGCCGTTTCAACGCAATTGGTCCTAGATGATGGCAAAGAGCCTACGGACTCTCAAGGCACTTTCCCCGGCATCTCCCGGGAAAGTGCCCCGAAGACCATAAGCATCGAGGAATGCGCACGGCTAAGACAGGTCGCCTTGGTGCGGGCAGGCCATTTCCTCAGTGCTCTGCAGGATCCAATGGACCAGCTGAGAGCGGAGCATGCGAGCTCAATGGACCAGCAAATGGCCGGACGGGACAGCGAGCTTTTGTTCCCATCCTTCGGCAAGTTCGTGGAGGAGCAGTTGCTGCCTCTCTACGTGCGCGACATTAGCATTTCCACGCTGGGCGAGGCTGAAAAGGGTCCAGAGACTGAGAAAAGAGCTGTTGCACGTGTTCAAGTGTTTGCTGCTCGACTCCTCGTCGCAGGTTATGATGTACTACTGTGCGATTGAAGTGGACGCCAAAGATGAGCACAGAGCCCGGCAACTGCTGGGCATAAGCTCTCGATCTGGCTTGAAGAGGAAGCTTAGCGTCGCATCATCGGCTCCAGTAACTCCCATAAGCCAAAGGGAGCCGACGCTTCAGGACCTCATTCAGGACCGGCCTTTTGCAGTGTGCTCTCACAAGCTGTGCTTCGTAGCTTCCAATTCCCGAGTTAGCAATTTGAAGGCCAGTGAGGCGAGCATGAAGAAGCAAAAGATGCGAAGCGAAATGACAACCTCCGTGGTGGAGAAGCGCCGTCACGGCAAGCCGGCGCAAGCAGACTACCTTGCACCGAGCAGTGTTGCCAGACCGTTCAGTGAGCGTCGGCCCGCCGATACCTGCATGCAGTTATGTAGGAATTTTCGAGATTCTCCTCCCAGAACCACTCGAGGTCCACCAGGGCCCAACGGTAGGTTTCTTATTGGGGGGATGGGTCAGGATCAAGGGCCCAGAGTGATAAGATGCCAGAAGCGCATGTACGCATGCACTTATGAGGTTTAGCTTGGTATAAGGATTCGTGTCATGGCAAAGTCATGCAAAGTCGAGGTTTACGACACATACTTGTAGCTTGGCTTCGTAGACATCGAAATTTGAGCTTGTTCTCGCGCAGACAAGCTTGAGCTAAGGACAATTCTGGAATCCAAAAGGAGACGAAGCAGTCCATACCCGAGCAGCGCACACCCGAAAAGAAGCTGAAGAGCTCAACTTCAGTGTCCACGGCCTTGTGGAAGTCTCCTGCTCCCATGATGCAAACTCCTCCACGTTGCTCGGCTGGATGCTTCCTTGAATTTGTCGTTGACTGTGCCTGTCTGAAGTCTGCTAAATCAGGTCGACTTAGAGAAGAGAAATCACCCGTGACTTGGGAAAGACGGCGCGCGGCCGCCCATGTCCAACCATCGCCAAGACACTCAATGACAGTTGCTTGACTGCTTCGCATGAGACGTGAAGTTTGCATGGCATAACAACCATGTGTCCCACATGCTGAGGCAGACTGGACGGGCTTTCCCTTCTCGCCATGATTTCTATCCGGTACAAGACACTGCTTCTAGCTGCGCGGCGCACGCATGTAATTCAGCCGGGTTATGGGTAGAGGCGAGTGCGATCACAATCCGCAGATGTGCTGTCTGCGGGCACTGCGCAGTTTCACGGGGCAAGAAAAAGGACTCACAAGCTTGCCAAGCATTCCAAGGGCACCTGATCCTTAGGATTCCGACCGAGTCCGGATCCTGCAGGTGGAAGCAGAGCCAGTGCGAGATGCAATCGAGAACAGGCGCGGCTGCTTGTACATGTTGCTCACGAAAGTGAAATGGCCCTGTAGAGCTGACAGGCCGCAGACAAGAGAGGAAAGGTTCGAGGAGGCTCCCTGCAAGTTTGCCTGTGAGCGATGCTGTCATTGTCACGATGGCGACTGTGATGGGTGGTAGTGAGGCTGAGCTAAATCGAGAGCTAAAGCCTGTCGTAGTTAAGTTTAGTAAAGACTGGCTGGAAGTACGGACAACTTGAGTGTGTTCCACACGTTTGAAGCGCAGCTTGAGCGTCTCAGTGACTCATCTCCCGAAATAATTTGCGACCAAGCCGGAGGCAAAGGGCCGTTAGACTTGCCGACAAACAGCAGGACCTGCAAGTAGCATACCTTTGCAATCTGCGGTCATCGCCGGCGACTGGGGCATCCCATCCAAAAAGCCAAAGAACCAGTTTACGAAGATCCTGGCGAGTTCGGTGTCGAAGTATTCCTAAGGGTGTCGGTTGTCGGTGTTGTGTCATGCTGCGCGGGATCCTGGGACCTGCAGAGATTTCAGCGAGTCCCTCCGACTTGGTCAGCTGAAGCATGCAAAGCTCCGGCTCGACCTGGGCAGGAAGCGGATAGTTTGGTTCCACAGTCTCGGACTTTGGAAACCGCAGTGCAGGCGGGGCTTCTGAGTGTTGGAGACGAAGACCAATGAATCCAAGTCTCGATTTCATGGTTGGGCGCTGTACCCACTTTGAACCCTCCCAGGGCACAATTAGATCGAGCTGCCACACATACGTCAACCAGCAGTTAAAGCCTGCAGCACCATTCTTCCTCCCCTGCCATAGAGCTCTATTGGTTCGCTATGCCTTGTCTACCAGGATCCCCTGCTAAATCATGATTAAGATTCCTTGGTGCGGTGTCCGAGTTGGAGAACGCTAGCAATCGAAACAATTGCATAACTGGATAACTGGATTGCTAAAGCCTAGCTCAACGATTCTGAATGTTTTGGATCCCAACTGATGCCTACTCTAACGCTGGCTGGTTCAATTTGAACGAAGCTATCCACCAGAATCCCGAACGAAATCATGATTGAAGTAGAAAATTTGTGTGCGCGTTCGGCAGAAAATCACGTGTTTGTAGTTGAGTTGAAACCTATCAGGTTGAAAGTCAAGAACTCTTGCATGGAATGCGAGTAGTTAAGAGAACTTGACCATCACGATGTTGATCTTTGTCGGGGCGTCACTTAACTTTGCAGTGAGCAGCTCGCACGGACATAAAGCTGATCCAGCATGCGGACTTGGGGCTTTGTCCTTGCGAAGTACGTCAATACCGTGGCCGGTTTTCGTAAGCACAGAAAGTGAGGCCCCGATGTTGGGCGTATCTGATTGGCAGCTCTTGCAGAGACTTTGATCCCTGCTCTGAGGTTTTTAGGCTATGCATCGGCTGGAAAATCAAATCCTCTCCTTATTGCACCATCTGGGTAGCACACCAGGCATCGAAGAGACAGACTCCCAACCTCCGAGAGCCAATGAATTACATCAGAAGTTAATTACTATTGCTTGTTTACTCTTAGGTTCACTGCCTTACGCCAGAAGAATGCCATTGGCGCATGCCCTCGTGCCAGGTTCCAGAGTTCGCAGCAGTTGCTGCAGCAGTGCAGACCGAAGCAGAAGACACCGTCGAAGACGCCGCAATCGCCAAGAGTGAAGAGAAGCCCAGCACTGTTGCGGAGCCAATGCCGCCCTCGCCGCGACCTCAGACCACTCGAGCATCAGCTGCCAACAACAAGAAGCGTTTTCTAAGGAATCGACAAGGTGCAGATTCTGCAGCAGGCGCATCTGCCGAGGCGTGCTTCCTAGAGAGTTCGAGGGAGGTCGGCTTCCAGAACACAGTTTTTTATGCGGAGCACTTGCTTGCCAATGCTTGACTTGCAGATGCCTGTACTTGCGCAAGACCCTGGCCAACCCACGGAAGCTGAGCCGAGATCTGCCTTCCAAGGCGAGCCGTGGGGCTGCGATGCGAGTATCAGGACTCAGGACCATGCAGTTCAATCCGTGCTTGCAGGTCTACCGGCCAGTGTCAATCCAGAGGCCCAAGCATCTGAGCTTGCACGAAGCATTAGCTTGAGGTTTCGACCAAGCCGCCCATGGGTCGCGATGTTGCGCTGCCACTCATAGAGCTTGAATGTTGGGGGCCTCAACTGCGCAGGCAGGATCCGGACCTTTGCCCTCGAGAACTGTCGCATCCTTGGGAGAGCATGAGAAGCTGAGAAGCCACACCGCCACCCGATTCCACTATCTTGCCAGTTGCCAGCGGACTCAGCAACGCGGCAAGTGCGCTGGCCCAAGCTTTCAGCTGCATAAGTGCATGACCTGGTAAAACCCAAAATCAAGCATTCACCAGCGTATGCTCTGTCTCTCTGTCTCCCCGTTTGATTCCTGACTTCGTATCGGTGGGAGTGCGACACCGAATGTTTGCACTCGAGGATGGCGTCATCAGCGTGCCCTGCTGCACGGTCTCGGTTTGACATGGTTTGGAACTTGGTGCTCACGGGCAGGACACTGTATATATACTATTGAGACTTGCATGGTACCTTGAGGTTGCACAGATGCCAGCAGACTGGTGTGCAGGTCTCTCGAGACATAGAGTCGACTGCAGAAGACCAGCACTGCTCTCGTTGCTTCGAGCTGGAGGTGCTTTGCACCCTTCAGAACTTCCGATGCTGCCACCACATCTACCGAAGTCTCTGCAAACCAGCCGTGGCCTGATTTCAGAGAACCCAGCAGCGACGCAGGGGTGTCCAAAAAGCACGCCAGGCCCGCAGCGAGATGATAGGCATGCTCAAGACCAAAGTCCTTGGAGGCTCTTCAAATGTGCCGGCAAACATGACATGGGGATAGGCTGATAGGCGACGTCCCACGGCCACAGTGCTTGTCGGTGTCCACGAAGACTTGCCCCAAGACTTGATTCATCAGGCCAATCAGATCAATGGCCTGGCTCTGAGAATTCTATTGCGACCGTACCCTGAGTGCCTATCAGTGCAGGCTTGCAAATGTTTCGAACGTCAGGCAACACCTTATCCGCCCTCGCCGGGGCCCGTCAAGGTGGGATGCGCGCTAGGTTTGTCATGCTAAGTCCAATAACAACGACCTTGAAGCAGATGTCAACACATGGCACACTGCAGCAGTGTCACCCCAGAGCATACCACTCAACATTGCAAGCTACGGCCGCTTTGGCGGCAATGCTAAGTGGACTTCTCGCCAGGATGGTAGAAGATGTGACGCTTTGCGCAACATGTTTTGCTTCTGTAGCCCAAGACTGCTTCTTATTCTTGGCAATGCTACCACGAGCCGGGGTGTGGCCTCGAGAATGGAGAGCAGCGGCAGTAGCAGATGTCCGGTAGCACACGCACAAGCGACTCGAACTCGAACACCGGCTCACTAAGCATGGGTGTGCCTGTGTGTTTCAGGCATCTTGCGCCTCCTCAGCACGAGGCACTTCAAGAAAGCACGAGAAATGGCGAGAGTGAGGAAGAGTGACGGTCGCCTCGAGGCCAGCATGCGAACTACAGAGCTGCTGCTGGAATGGAGGAGCACTCTATCACGACCTACCCGAACCCTTCAATATACAGAGGGACAAGACCAATCGGTCAACATCATAAGCTCCTCTTCTCTAGAACACCTTTCATGCAGGGAAGCCAAGCAGTAACAGTTGTTAGACTGTGCTTTTGTTTTGGACAGCCTTGTCCCCACAACGGGAGCATCCGAAGCCTCATGGAAGGACGACTTGCTGCTCCAACGTGCCTACGATGTGCAGATCCTACGCTGGAAACAACATGGACGCAGAGATTCCTGCCATCAAGCGATTTCAGGTATACCGGCAACAACAGCTCGACCTGCTACATCCACAAGTGTGAGGGGCGCTCACTAGCACTGCTGGGTTGAGCGACATCCCAGCAATCACGGCTTTGCATATGCTTCTATTTGATTGCATGGCTTGGCTTGTGCGACTGACATGTGCTAGCCAAGAATTCATTATCGAGTTGCCTGCTGGTGCATCTTTGCAGGTCCTGATGAACATTGTACAGGCATCAGGTAACATCCATCAGTGATGCTCGACAAAAGCAGTGCACATATTGCTCAGGGTGTGCGCGGCATAGACTGCATGCAAGATTGAGCTGGTTCAGTCCTAGATACCAGTTCAAGCATGGTTCACTTATCCTTTTTCTGTGAATGCAACACCATGCGTGCTGATTTAGCCTTTGCAGACGCCAGCATCCAAGTCGGAAGCCGAAGCAGACGAGGTGGAGTGAATTGATCCCAGAAGTTCTTACAATCAACACCGAAGCAAAGCACACTTCTAGACGGAGACGTTGTTAAGCCACATGGGCATTGCTCAAGACTCAAGCCGAATCAAGCTTGCTTCTGTGTCGTCAGTTGCAACACACGACTCCTCATCGGCAGTCCCAAAGCAGCAATGATCAGGCAACACCGGCAAATGTGAAGTGAGGAACCGGTTCCGGGTTACCTTGTGCTTGCGCAGGCTCTATCCACATGCTCCCGGCTTAGGTTGCCCATCCAAGTTCCTGCAATGTGATGCACCGCAGACATGGTAAATGGGCCCAAGGCAGACAAGTTGCAGAAAGACATCCAGGTCCGGATGCGCTGAGCGTCATGCTCAACACATGTTGCCATGTTGGACTTCCAGCGAGCTGAACAGCGAGCATGCCTCAGAAATTCTCAGAACCATCACGGCAGGCAACAAGATAGTCTCAGCCACGTGTTGAAGCAGCAGAAATGAAATTCAGCAGCACGAGTTGCGCCGCGTCTTGGGCCTTTCGGAATCGCGTTAGTCCACGTGCACCGACGGCTTTGTAAACGGGTGCTTACGCAGACACGGCCTACCGTATTGTCATGTTGTTGCAAATGTAGGTGTGTCGGGCCAGCCAGCGCCTGACCGCAACTTTCCGAGACCATGATCGAGTCGTCGAAAGCGAAGAGCCGGTCTGCATCGGCCGCCACGTTCCACAGCACATCGGAAAAATATACAATCTGCAGCCCCGGCATGGGATTTCGACGCGGTATCCTTGGTTCTGGCTGGCAGTAAGGGGCCTCGTTCTAGCAGTCTTGCAGTTCGAAGATGGAGCCATGATAGTGCGACTCTTGTCGTTATCTTGCCTTCAGGAGCCCCTTTTTCCCAGAAGCACAGGCTGAGCCAAGCGAGTGCAGACCTAGATCTGTCCTTTCGAATGCATGGCGCGAGATAGCCAGCCCGCCGAATGGTTCGATGTCCACTGCTGGCTGCATGGGTCAGCAACACCTCGCGAGAAAGCACCAAGCAATCACGCGCCGCGTCACACATGGGAATTGTTGATCCCCAATCCCGATCAAAATATTCACCACCGTGGCCACAACATCGACGTGGAAGGCAGCGCAGGGCATTGCAAGGTGCTTTGAAGCAAGTCCGCATGCAGATGCATCTTTATCAGCGCGTTTTGCTGACAAAATCGGAATCGAACAACCCGCGCGGCAGCTCGAACCTGCGAGGCGAGAAAGGCGGAACACCGCACGAGTTGTTGTTATTGCACTTTGTTGTGTTGAACTGGGCCACAACTTCAGACTCCGGACTGACCTGCATTCATCTGCATTCCAAGCAGTGGCAACGGGCCGCCAGGAGCTTCGAGAACAGTTGGAGCTGCGGCAACAGCAGAACGAGGAGCTTCGGTGCAACCCTGCAAAAGCGGTGGGGGAGGGGGGCGGAGGGGGAGAGGGGCGATGCCTGCAAGCTGCGTTGTTTCGTTTTGGCCTGCACTGGGCCTTGTCATGAGTGGACACTACTCACTGCTCGTGCTGTCCGGTGTTGGCAGGAGGAAATGGGTTGGAAGCCTAGCTTCTGACGGAGGATCCATGGATCAACAGCAGAGTCACAAACTCGCTGAAAGAGCCCGTATGCACTTTCCGGCTGAGGCCGCTTGAGGGAGGCGGCCGTCCAGATTGGTGACTTGTACGATCAAGTGCACCTCGCAGAGCAGGCCCGGCACTTCTGACATAAAAGCCTGTCGCAGAGATTTCCAGTCGCACGCTCGCTCGCACCGGCACACCCACTCCGAGCATCGCTTTGCACGCACGCACGGGGCAAACCCCAACACAATGTAATGCGACGCCAGGGGGCACGTGCACAAGCACGCACGGAGGCACGCACAACATTTTGATGCTGTTTTTGCATTCTGCATTCTTTCCTGGAAATCGCACGCATGTTCCCAGATTGGATGTTACTTGTCGTCGCATAGATGTGGCTTTCAATTCGGGCCTCCTTCGCAATGTTCAACAAAGAACCTACGTGTAGTCGTTTCATGACTCCACATCCTTTTGCCAGCACCCGGAGAAGGCTTTCACGATCTGCAAAGTTTTCAGCACATATGCATCCGGCCCAACCCCGGCCCTTGGTCTCAACCATTGCGGGCAACTGACCCCGCACCAAGTCTACGGCTTCAGGGCTTCAGCATTTCGTTTGGAATTGCGCTTTCCATGTTTCTGACACGGACACCATGGTCAAGTGCTTGACAGGAGCAAGACCAACTTTCGACTGAGCAGCGGGCTTACTTGCAATTCCCAATCGGGTTGGTGCGCTACAGGTGCATGAAAGGAATCTTTATGTTGCCAACTGAGGCGAAGGCAAGCAGAAGATGAGGCAGAGCAGTTTCTTTATGGAGAAGCTGAGGCCTTCAAGGCATCCCGGAAGCACACCAGAGAGCAGCTTGATACAGTCACACAGTGTCTCCCAGTAGCGAGGTCAGAACTGAAATGACTCGAAAGCTGGCGATTGGCAAGCAGGTTGCTTTGCTGCCCCCGCTGATTATTGCTAGGGTGGCATTGTGCCGCTGATCCCGAAAAATTGGTGGCTCGATCGGACAGCTGTCATGTTGCGCATGCTCCCAGTTGTTAGATTGTCACTGATGAATCACGGTATCCTGACGAGCAGGGTAAATGGCATCCAGAGAAGCAGTAGCATACATAGTGACATAGTGCACACGGTGCGTAGTTGGCAGTCGGTCCCGCATGCTAGGGTCCAGTCACGGAGGGCCTGAACGAGGCTCTAACGGAATCGCAGCATGATGCCGCATGCCGATCTCCTACTACGCCGTGGGCTCTTGGGACGATTGGGCCGCATTTCACCTGCTGTGTTTGGACGAGGCCTTGATGGTAGTCTTTAAGCGAATCTCCTCCGTGGCGACAGTCTTGAGACATGAACCACAGTTGATCTGGCCATACAAAGCATGCCATGGCGGTCTGCTGGTACCTGGAGGTTTGTTTGGGTGGAAACTTTCGGGGTTTGTGCTGTCACCGTTCCCTGTGATGCGTGTACTGTTGGCACTGTATAAGTGTGAGTTTCCCGCTGATGAAATCCACCTGCATGCTTGCTTTCGGAATATCTCCGCAGGCCACTGGTCTTTATGGTGCGAAGCTTGAATGCGGATGGCTTTCAAGTCGACGGGAATTACGAGCAGTGAAACAACCTGGACGGCCAGTTGCGATGCCACTAAGACGTACGGAATATTCTTGACACTCTTGTCTTCTTCATCTGAGGACCATACCAGTTCGGAAGGCGCCTGGTGTAGAGGAGTTTCAGATCGTGGAAAACAAAAGCTGGGCACGGCGATTCTTCCCGGTGGACGGAGGCGACGGTCAGCGACAGCGTGGCATGTCACAGATGCATGGGCCGAAGCGAGATGAGAGCGAGCTGTGCATCAGGCCAGTCGATTGCAGGTCCGGAAGAACGTCACGGAGCCAATTGGCGGGCTGAGATACCCTGTCGCTGTCGTGATCTGCATGCGAGAGAGCTCAGTTGCAGCACATGCCCGTGCTCAGATTGTGCTCGCATGAACTGCAGCAAATCTTACGAAGGTTTCGTGGGATCCTGTGGGGCAGCGCGATGTCAAGCCTCTGGGGTCCGAATAGCCTTCATGTCCAAGAGCTGGTTGTAGGCAGCTGTCATCCGGCGTCGCTCGGGCAACGAAACCGCATACGGGAGCTCACAGATCTGAGGTGGCAGTTTCTCGATTGTTCTGGAAAGCCTTTGGGACGCCCAGTGGTCAGCCGTAAGTCCGCCACAGCGACGTTTTTTCTTGTGGGCCACGCCGATGAATTGTTGAGTTGCTTTTGCAGAGCGAGAGTGTACAACGAAGCTTCAATCATTTTCTGCGTAGTCTCCCCCCTCATGATGTGCGGTTTCCAGGCTCCTGGAACGATTGGCAAGACTTTCTGGAGCTGCGGCCACGATTAAGGCCGCGCAAAGAGGCACTTGCAGTTTTCGGTGGACAGCGAGATGCTCCGCCTGTGGAAGTCGTGCGTGCTTTTGCCGAATTTTCCGAATGTCCTGGAGACCCGTGCTGTCAAGGCGAGAACCAAGAAATGACATAGTGCATAAGTGGCACAGCATGTGTATGAATGATGAATCCATGTCAATGTATGAATATATGTAAGCATGCATACGTATGAAAGGCACAGACATACCGACCGAGCTGCCTACCTGCCTGTCTCAGCTAACTATCTATCTACGCTTCTACCTATCTATCTGCTCTGAAATCTTTGCGTTCCTACGTAAGTGTAATACCTGGGTATGTATGTATGCACGTATGTATGCACGTACTTGATCTGATGCATGTGTGTGTATGCATGCATGTGTGTGTTGCAGCCATACATAAGTAATTACTTGCATGCAATGCATGCAACATGTATCATACATAGCATACACACAAACAAGCATACATGCATACGCGTCTCCATACCCACACAACCGAACATATGTCATACGTAGATACCTACATACATACATAAACAAATTCATACATACACAACTTCATACAGACTTACAGGCGCACATACGAGCATAAATGCACATACAAACACACACCGGCGCACATACATACATACCATGCTATATCATACCACACCAAAGAATACAATACCATACAACATAAACAGGTAACCCAAGACACTTATCGCTCCGGAGACAAATTAGCTATGAAAACTTAGCTCTTTCAATTGTTCAATCAAGACTCCCTGCAATGCGGGCTTCGTCCTTGCTAGGTAGGAGGGAAAACAGGTAACCCATTACAAGTCAGTACAATACAAGGCAACATGCATGCACACATGGGTACATGCATGTGTGTGTGTGTGTGTGTGTCTGCTTAGTTTTGGTTGATGGTAGCTGTGACATCTTGTGCACTGAGGCAAGGATCAAGTACACGGAGGCCGCATTCCTGTTCAAGGTCTTGATTGTGTGGAACTGCAGGCCGACAAGTGAGGTAGTCGCAGGCTTTTCTCGTAAGTCTAGCCAAGGCCGGGGGAATTTTGCCACTGTGAGTGTCAGGTTGCGCAAGGGCGTGATTGGCAACGACGGTTCTATCCTTCTGATGCATCCACGAATGCACGAGTTCTCGGGCCATCATGCCCTCCGCATGGCATGAATTGGCGAATTGCAGTTCCCAGCTGTTCCTGGGCGTTTTGGTTTCTGCATGTAATGTGGAGATGTTCGTCGAGTGCCAGACGCAGAAGCATGAACGATCATTGCTCAAATTTCGATCGTTTATGGAGCTCAGGAAGGCCTAGGAGTGTCAAAGTCGCAGACAGCTACGGTCACCAGCTGGGCCACCATTCGTGCCGACCGTTTCGCAGGCGTTAAACCACAGACACCCAAGACATCTTGCATGGGCTGACGAACTTAGTGTTGGCATGTTGGACGCGCCAACGATGACTTGGCATTGTCCATGCAAGGCGAGGAGGGATGTTCGGTGCTGCATGCAAAATTGCGCGAAGATATCCTCAGCGGTGGAGGCTCCTTCCCATTTGGGCCTGGGCCAGTCGAGGTTTGTGAGGGGCTGGAAATCGAACTATGTCTTGCCCCAAAGCCGCCGTGAAGAACCCGACTCGAGGACCATAGCTCTCGTCAGATTTTGTTATGCGAAGGCCGAAACCACCCTGAGAGCAGACACAAAGCGAAACGACAAGAGCTCAGAGATATGGATCGTGCAATGCTGCAAAGTCAGAGGAGCAGGAAAAACTGCCCAAGTCGGAACTCGAAGTTCGCATCGCATGCCTGTACGAGTTGGAGACCATGAGATCCTTCTCACGAGCATGTTCATGATTTTTCCAAGCCACAAAGCCGATACTATCAGCAGAGGCTGCTGGTGGCTGAACATTACATGGTGCTGCAATGACGGGGTTGCGGGCGGCTTGGTTGCACAGGCTATGCAGCTATCCCGATTGCTCTTCATGCCTGCCTCGCCAAACCTGTGCACGATCTCGAGGTGCTCTTTCTTGGACCTTCTTGGACCAAAGGGCCAACGAAATCGACGTCACGCAGCAAGCCGCCCGGCACTTGGTCTCTGGTTCCTGACATCTGCAGCCTCAGATCAGCAGCATGCTTCCGCTCGGCATGGCAACTCCTGAAGCTTGCAATTTTCAGAACTCACGCGCATGCTCAGCATTCGGCTCCAGGCAACCTGAGCTAAGATTACCAGATGCACGTGGCACACCTTAAGTGGGACATGGGCGCGTTTGTCTGTGTGTGGCTGTGGGGAGGGGCGCCTCAACTGTGGCTCCGAGCAGGCCGTTAAAGCACACATGACAAGTCATCTTCACAAGCAACACGCCTTTAGCATCTTTGAGCTGAAGTCCGAGTCCGTGCCATGAAGCTGATCAGCGACATTTTCCACAACCATTGCGGAGGAGACGGGAAGGTCAGCCCCTCCACTTTGAGGCAAGGGAGACTCCGTGTAGTTCGCACACTAATACAAACGCAGCTGCGAGGCGCTGTAAAGTATGGGCTGAAATCGCCAAGTCACAGATCTCAACGTGTGCACTTACATCCACTCGGTACCAACGGCCCATGCTTGTATCAGCAGCTACACCTTGCACAGATTGGAAACGCACGGGGCAATGCCAGGCAAATAAGCCCCGGAATTCCCAAATGCCTGCTTCAGTGCCCCGGATGTCAGGGAGCTTCTTCTGACCTTGGGCGACCACAACCTGGGCATTTGGGACACATCAGACGTCGACACTATCCTGGCCCGTTGGAGCGACAAAAGCGCCATCGATTTTGACGAATTTGTTAGCCACCGGGTTGCCATGATATACAAATCGGTGGGCACCGCCTCCCTCTCAAAAGGTCATGCACTGCTTGTAAGGTTGGGTATATCAAGATTGTGCTTTACTCTCGCCTCGGGATCCTTCTGAAGAGTGCCAACGCAGTCCGCGTCATTTGACTATCAACTTCGACGTGAGACTTTCCTGCATGAGTAACCCGTGACTAGTTTGATCTGGTTTGTCAGGGGTCCGATTATGATCCAGCATGCTACGCATTCGCAGTTTGCGTTCGTAAACCATCCTGGCTGCTCAATCCTCCACGGTATGTTGTCTGCGGAATTAACGAAGCATGTCATGGCGATCTTCGGCCTGGCTTAGGAACAAGACGCTTGTGATGAGGGACAAGACCGCAGGCAAGTCTGTTGAAGTGGTTATCAACGAGGCGGCACGGCTATACGGAGAGAAGCAAAGCTGTAGCCGCACTGTTTCCAGGCGCGGATTGCCTGTGCAGGTCCTGGCGGAGACTTGCTGGGGTCGGTTTGACGGCGACCAATGGATCCTCGTGTCTGACCAGAAGCTTGGCACCCTGAGAACTTCGTGATGACAGGAAATGTTGACTTGCTGTTTTGTGCGTGTTCAAGCCAGATGGATTCCCAGCGTAGCCACCGTAGCGAGACTCGGGCGCCGAGTGCTTTTCAAGGCCTTCGTCGCTTCGCCCAGAAACTGCTGGTGAGACTGAGGGCGTCGCCTCCCGGCCGCTCTCTGTTTTTTGCTTGCTGTCCTGAAAAGAAAGCTAAGCAGCGCATTTTGGGGTGGGGATGCGGAACAGCCACCTTTGATTTGAGGTCAGCTATGCAGAGTTTCTGGAGAAAACGATGCCCGGAAGCGCCGCTCGAAAAGACCGGCAGAAATTGAAAGGCAGTGCGGCTGTCCTTCGATCACAAACTTGCAGACAGTTCTTCACTCACTTGCTTCGCTGCTGTAGCTGACATGTCTATTGTTACGCTCCAGGGTCTTGCAGAAAGCCCGGTATCTGGAATGGTCTGCCAGGCGCCTTTACACTGCCGGGTCATCCGGGAGAAAGGATGGAGCACTCTCACAAGAAGTTGTGCAAGCAGCTGATATACCCAGCCCATTGGCAATGAATTTGGCATAGCTCAGTGTAGTCCATCACATGTCCAAGTCAGATTTAGATGTTGGCTGCTGCATGCCAGCCCAAACGAAGTGAAGGACGGGTCTCCTGTTCAAGTGGTGCACGCCTTCTTTCGCTTGCTGGTCGAGCTCAAGCGATCGAAGCGGCGACTCTGCGCAGAATGAGATCGACTTGCTTGAGGTTCAGCTTGGCTTCGTGTGGGGTTGAGCGCCCGGAGTCAATGTTAGAAAGGGTAGGGTGAGCTGCTGGCTGCACGTTGCCACGGATGCCCCCCAGTCTGTGAAAGCCCGCACTAACATCGGAGCTTTGCTAGCTGTTTGGATTGCGAGTTGCCTTTGACTGCCACCTTCCGTAGGCCATGTTGAGGCGCTTTCGGTCTGCCTTCGTCTACTGGCCTTTCTTTTGTTGCATGCAGCCTCTTGCTCCTGGCGTGTCTGTTGTTCCAAGTTACTGGTGGTTGTTGTGTTTGTCCCACTGTTCGACCAGCTGTGTTTTCCTTTGCTTTGTGCTTGGTGGTTCCAGTACTGGACTACAGCCACTACAGTAGTGACTTTTGTCTCGCTTAGGGGTTGCGGTTGCGGCTCACGCTGTCCCGCCCCCTCACCTCGAAAGGAAAAGGGTCAAGTTGCACCACAGCCCCCGGATCCCCAAAAAAATCCGACTGCGAAATCATAAACCAGATCTAAGCCCGTGGCTGGCTTTTGAAAGTGCTGCGAAGCTGTATGACGGAAAGAAAGACAAGAACACACATGCAAAAGACGCAGGGAGTGGGGGACAGCAGGACGACTAGATTCACAGAAAGACGAAAGTCGAAGTCGACACAGTGAACACTCCCCAGACTAGCAGCCAATGCTCCAGAGCCTGTTCTTGTAGGATGCCTGCTGACATCACGTGCCATCAATGGCCCGATGCATGGCAGGCGTCGGCGTTTGCGAATGTCGTACTGCTTCCGTCGGCAACTTCGGCTTCGATCAAAGCAGAGGTTTTTCCACCCACCGTCAGGCTGAAGGAGCGCCATATCACGCTTGCAAACGACAGATGCAGCTGAATCCCGTGTCAGTGCCGGGACGCGCATCATTGTAATCAATTCAACTGCTAACTGCACGCCCATGTGCATGAACCCCAAATGCTGCACAGCGCCCAGACGGCCGCCAAGAGAACAGGATTGCCACTGGTATATCGACTGAATTTGGAGTCCAAAGACACTTCTGTGCATTCGCTCCGCAGGTAGCTTGATTTGTCTCGACGTGCCAACCTGCTTGCCTGGTTTTAGAAGAAGGGACTGTTTTCACTTTGTTTATCTCAGAACCGGTGAGGCATCTTCTTCCATTGACGGGGGATCGGAAATTGGTGGGGGTTCAGCACTTAGGGTTTGGGGCGTGCCGTGTCCCGAGACCGTGACTTGCGTCAAAATTGATTTGGGCCGACATTGCGCGTTCTTGCCGTTTGAGCATTTCTGCACATATGATTGCACACACGCACGTGTAGTTCTGCATATGTATACAGATACATATGTATAGATACATGCATGTGCCTAAGCGTGTTCTAAAATTTGCAAGCTTTCGCACCAACGATTGTACACATAAGAATGTGTTGCAACATTGGACAGTATGCATTTGTATGTATAGGTTTCTACATACATGATGTGCTTTCCGTGGCATATACGTCGCAAATTATTGGCGATGTGAACAAAACATTTGCCTGTTAGAAGCAGTTTGACTAAGCACATTTGTTCGCACTTAGGAATAGATCTCATGTGGGAGTGCCAGAAGCCCAAACTGTAGACCGTGAGATGTCTCAAAAACACAGCCTGCAAGCAGTTGACTTCAAGCTGTCAACCTTCAACTCGAAAATCTTGGAAAAAATCTTGCCTGTCTGCCTGGTGCAAATGGGGCGGTCGAAACTCCAAAATCTCAGGCTTTAACGCCCCAAACCCTAGACCATGCTGAGTTGCCAGGGGCAAAAAAGCCACTGGGATCATTGTATATGATGCCCTCTGAACCACATGGTTGACTGAATTAATCAGCCACTTGAGATTCTTGCTGAGATGTTGTATTTCAACGCACGATTCGGATGTGATGGTGTGGCTGCTCGATGGACCATCGTTACTCAGACACCTTGCCCGGCTTGTCCCAGTGGTGAGAGTCGAGAGCGAGCTTTCGTTCCAGTCCCTCGCCCCCAGTTTGCACAGCTTTGTGCTAGAGATGGGAGCCTTGCCATGCTCAACTCGTCAGCAGACTTTGCTGGCTTGCAAACACCGGCTGATACTTGCAGCCTTGCATGCTTTTGAGTGTGGCCGGCGATTGAGGTCCTTCTCTTTGATTTTTCGAAGCTTCGGCGAGGCCGAAGCTTCCCTTGTCACTGGAGAGCATGAGAGGATTTTTGAGGGCGCTTGTGCTGGCGGTGGCTTTCGCTGTACAGGACTTGGAGCTCGTCGCGAGTGAGCTGAATTCGTTCTGCGAAGGGAAGCATCCCATGTTTCCAGGACTGGCCAGTCACATCGCAGAAGTTTTCGGTACTGCCCGGATGCACGTAGAATTCTGAAAGGCTTCTGCATGGATGGAAGCGATGGAGAGCCAGACTATCGGTTCCATATCACGCACCCGGAGCGATACGGGAATTTCCATGTCGTGCCTTCGCCAGACTTCAGGACTTCAGGAACTCGATTGGTTCCGACTTCTCACATGTTGTTTCTTTCTCTGAGGAAGATGAGGAGCTGCACCTGGTCTTGGGGACCATCGAGCAACCTGGAGAGGGGAGCTTCAAGGACTTCGATCAATACTGTCACCACTGTCACCACATCCACATCGTACCCAAGCCCAATCCACCTCTTCAAGCGGACTCCACTACAGGATGTCAAGGATCGAAGCCTCGCTTTCTTCCAGCAGCACGATTTGCCAGTCAAGAAAATTATATCGGGCACGTGCCGTGCTCAGCGAAGCTGTCCTTTGCCTGTGCCGTGAGCTGTGCGTCGATTGCACTCGTCGTGCATGCAGGTCTGCCGTGGTGGACTTTATCTGGGAGCTGTCGTCACAATGTGTGACAGCTGGCTTTAGAGACAACTTCCAGTTCTGGAAAGCGAAGAATCACAGCCAGGACCGACCGTGGGAGGAGTGGCGAATGCATGGTAC